TGTAACTTAACTAATAAGCAGTAACCTAGAAATGCAGACTAACATCATCATTGTGCAAAATCTTCCCTACCTACTTGTCCATGAACAAAATTTTAGTACTTGTTGAAATATAAAAGACATCAGCTGTTCTTAGACTTAGCAATTTAATATGCTCCAAACACACTGTGGTTATGAAGAGCCTTATGTTCTCATGGCATCTCAAGGTTGATTTTTTTTTTTTTAAATCTAGTAAAGGACATATCAAACATGATCAATTGGGAAAAATGAAACTGCAGGTACTGATTCGTTTGGAACAGGCATCACTGGAGAGGCAGGCAGCTCTAACAGCTACATGTGGTGGGGGAGAGACACCAAAGGAAATAACTGCATTAGGAAATGATAGACAAAGTGGAAAGATGCAAAAGAGATGAGTTTAAGGATTGAAGTTTGGGGGTTGTGTTGTGGGTTTGAGTATCAATTTTTTTAAAAGGCTGAAGCAGTAAAAGAACACAGGAAAAAAAATACTATTTTTATATTTTATGCTCCAATTGAAAGATAACTCATGTTATAAATATGAGCATTATTCACAATTGTTACAGGGAATCCGAGTAAGATACACATTATTTTCTCCTCCATTATTCCATCTTCCATATTGCTTAGAATATTTATTGTGAGAACTTGGAATAAAGTGTAACCAGTATGTAGGCACAGGCTTTATCTTCTTTTCTCTATGTTTAACAATATCTGGGTCAAGAAAGTGCTACTTCAAAAGGTTTTTTTTAAATTTATATATGTATACATGTCTATATACAGACAGACATTTATCTTGTGTGTATATAAATATATATGCTTAATGTTTCTTAAAAAACTCCCAAACACCTATCAATTCAGTTTCTCAGATCTGGAATTTGATCAGATTAGTAACCACCTGTCAGCTTTAAATATTGGACTATTTGTTTCCCTGTGTCCAGTGCCTAAGATCTTGTTAATTACCTAAACTCTCTTTCTGTAGGTCTTGTTAATTACCCGTCTCCTGTCTCAGAGGACCTTGTTAATAACTTGTACAATCTCTCTAAAAAGGTCCTAATAACACATTAAAATTAAAGATGCTTTTCTTTTAGCACTTGTCAAGTGGTGTAAATTGAGAAATTTTCACATCAGTTTATTAGCCTACTGTAGTGTATTTTCCTAAACACAAACAATTTCAGAGAAATGATGCACAAGGTTTGGTCATGACACAAAACAATCTTTCTTTTCCAGGATTACTCTCAATTTCTTTAACTGTGCTCAATACAAAATCCACGTGGCTCCTGGCTGCAAATTAACCTCTTAAGTGCCGGGACAATAGAAGTAATTGTAATAATGAATGCAATTTAAAATAATGTTAGGTAGAAGCTTCAAAGTAGTGGATTTAGAAGTATGAAGACAAAGTAGTGGATTTAGAAGTATGAAGACAAATCGTTGCTGATAAATGCTGGGTAAAAATACTAGATATCCTGTGTGCTTAAAAACTCTTCTCTGGCTGTGTAAGTTCTCTGTACCTAACAGATTTTGTAATATTTGACAAAACAGCGTTTCTTGTTTCACTATGAGACTGCAGCATTTCTAAATTGTCAAGAAATCAGCTCATAAATATCTCTATTACACCTACACCAGACAATAAAACCCCCCAAACTTAACACTTACGTAATACTGCAACACCGTATCTATAAAACCCTTAAAAATACTAATTTATCCACTCAGCATTTGTAAAAGGTAACAAAATATCATCCCCATTTTACAGATCAGGAGCAGGAAGACTAAGTGATTTAGCCAAAGCCACAGAACAAGCCTTTGCCAGAGCAGAGATTAATGCAAATTAGGGGGTCCATATTTTGTGATTTCCTGACAACTAGTATTATACACAAACCAGACAGATTTTGTTTTGCTTTTCCAAAATACTTCTTAAACCTTATTGAAATAACAATAACTGTACTTAAAATAAACAGTATTTTCCAAATAATCTTGGGATACTTCTCGCTTTTAGGAAAAAAAAATAAATCCTCTAACTGGTGCTGAACCACTTCTACATTTTCTGTATCAGCAGCTGAGAAACATGTGGAGGATGTATTGATCTTCATTGTTTTAAGTAGTAAATAAGAGTAATTAGTGATGGAGTACGTACACAGCCAGTTAGCACAACTGTTGGTTGGGTGAAGGGCTATTCAGCTACTCAACTAGTTCTTCAATTCAACTACTCATCAGTCAGGGATATCATTATGAGCTGCTGTCCCACACCTCATTACTGCTTCATCACCACTACCAAACACAATTAATTAGGATGGACCTGAGCCTGGCCCAAAGCTCACCCAAGTCACTGAAAAGATCCCCGCTACCTTCACAGACATAAAAGTTCACTGGTGTCAAGAACCTGACCTTCACACTCCGCTCATGAAGGAGATTAGGTTTGGTCATTTTTTTTTGAGCTTGGGGGAAGAGGGTTGCTGTGGGTTTTTGTTTTGTTTTTCCTTCCACTTCCCACACTCTCTAGTCTGATTCCATGGACCGAGCACCCTTTTGTGGTTACAGTGTGCTCCTGAAATTCACTTTCCAGTTGAGCTTCATCAGAGAGGAATGCAGCTCATACTCTGCAGGATAATCCCATGATTCAAACAAAGACTGAACTAAGTGGGGCTAACTGGGAGATCCACCTGCAAAGCAAACTCCTCACCCACACCAGAACACTGATTTTGGACACACTTTAATAAAAATGTAACGCCTGGTTCACTGGTGGAAATGGGTTCCATCCAAAAGAGCTTAATAGCATGCTGAGTAAATAAAAAGCAACTCAAAAGTCTAAATTCCCTGTGTACACCTTCTGCATACTAAATTTGTTACTCAGACTTGTTTGTTTTGTGCCCACAGATTTATTCCATTCTTTTTTCACTGCTTTACTAGTTTGAAAAATTAAAAATGGATTCTATTCAACACATCCTCCACAGATAAAAGGTAAACTTAAAACTGTAAACTTATTAAATATGCACATCTTGTATTAGTTTCTACTTCAAAAGAGAATCATTGTACAAGACGTATTTGAAAGCAAGTGAACTTATTCTGAAAGATTCTTGCAGAACATAATACCAGAGCGTATAAAAATCGAAAGCTTCTGACTTAAATTACTGCATGCTAGATATTGTTGCATAATAGCTGCCTTATAGAAAAGGTTAAAATGTTTACTATTTTTGGCTTTTTGAAAGTAACAGAGTATCTGTTTGTCTTATCAAAAGTTTATGTTTACATAAAAGTCAAGAACTAGTAAAAGAGATTCATACAAAGAGGGTGAACAAATGACTACAGTCCTTCTGAATGGGCACTGTGATGAGCTTTTTAATTACAAAATAAAGAAGAAAAAAAAAAGTCCACCATAATTACTGTTAAAGATTTATATTTATCAAGATCTGCTGCATTCAAGAACTTCAAAAGAAGTTCACTACTTATATCTAGCATCTGCTTAATACGTTTTTCTGTTTTAAAAAAATTTAAATGCTATGTGATTTTAATTGTTATTTAAATTACTTCTTTAAAAAAGCTTATTTAAATGGCAGTTTAACTGCTGACAAACCAAGCTACAGCCTAACCTTACTCTAGAGAAATCCTTTAGTAAATAAATAATATTCTAAGATTCTGTAAACATGTTATTCACAGAAGGCACTAAGAAGATAATTCATGGAAGTCTGCCTGAGCTTCTAGCAGCCAAGCCTTTTCTATAGCTGTTTGATTTCAGTTCATTTATCCAACTCACAGCCACCATCACTTTCGTTGAGAAAACAATTCTAAGTTTAAGTCAGGAGTGCCTGCATTCTAATCTGAGAATAAAACTGAGTTGGGAAACAGTAACATAAATCTGTTCTAAAATCTTAAAGAACAAAATAGTAAGAAATACTTTTTGTTTTGTTTTGTTTTTAAAGAAAATACTAGTGTCATTAATTAAGAAATTAATAGGGAAAAAGCAAATTTCTTAGAACCATATTTTCCATTTACAACCCTAAAATTCCAGTTCAGAGCATCTTAATTTTTAATTCAATTTCTACCAAATTTAAGTCATGAAATAGAAATTAATCATTACCTTGAAAAAAAAAAAAGGACTGATAATGTCTGGCATTAGTGTACAGAAAATATGAGAATGCAAATGAGTAAAAGTTAAATAATTAACTGCTGAAATATTTATGTCATGGGAACAGTATATATAGGGGGTGTGTATGTATATATTTGTAAATAGTGTGTCTTTTCCTTACTAAAAAACAACTGTTGGATAATTTTTTTAATTTTTCTTTAAGGAAAACAAGTTAACTGTTGATAGACAAACAAAGATTAAAGTAGATTATTTAAATCAAAGTTTCTTATCAGCCCCTGGTAACATAATTCACTCAGCTTAGCACATAAACTGCTGCCTTGTGCAACAACTTGAATACACAGAACTCAGCAAGGCTACAGTGAGCCAAATAAATTCAAGCCTGACAACTACTCATGTGGGTCCTCCCATTTAGAAATAGAATGGTGTTCAGTTCTTGTGCTTCAATGTATAGAATCTAAATCCAGGTTCTTTCCCAAATGCTGATATCCATGGGATTTGTTTTCATTACTCTCATTTTCTTTACCCTTTTATTTTTTCCATTTCATCTTTCCTTTAGACTTGAAACCTTTCCCTCTAAAACCTTGACTCAGGGCAGTGCAATAATCAGCAATGACTGTTCAGTGAAAGCAGAAGACTTTCAGGAAGAACCTATTCTGAAACATGAACAAGGTCTTCCACAAACATAAATCCCCAAGAACATTTACAGTACACACTAGTAACACAAATCTAACTTCAAAATGAAGTAGGAAAATATCAAACCACATAAAAAGTTCACAACTTTGACTTAAAAACAGAGAAGCAATGATATAAATACATATAAAGCACAAAGACTGCATTCCTCAACACTTCACATTTTCATTTCTATGACATGTTCAAGATATCAGATGGAAATACAGCAAAAACCTACCTTGAAGATGGCAACGTGCTTGTAGGCTTGAAGTTGGCCAGAAATGGGTTAGTTGAATCATAATCAAAACTCTCCTGATGAGCTTCAGCAAACACACTAGGTGATTTCAAGTCAGTAGAACTGTCTGATCCCCCATTGCTAAGTTTATCTGACCTCCTGCTATCTTTTTTTCCAGTCACTCTTTCAAAAAGACTAACTTTCTCTTTCTTCTCTTTTTTAATTTCTTTTCTGATTTCACCAGGTTTGGAAAACAGACTCATGTTTGGATCCCATGTTGCTGGGCTTTCTTCAAATGGGTTCTTCTGTCTTGGCAGTGTAGCAAATTTTTGGGGTAACGAAGCACTCACATTGGTAAATGGGTCATTTTGTGCTTCAAGTGCAGTTTCATCAACTGTGCTGTCAAGCTGGTTCATTTTAGAAGTATCAACACTTAATGTCCTTCTATGTGGAGATTTTAGACTCCCTGCAAACAATCTGTCATTAGTATATTATCAATGAGACACTATATCATAGTTTATGACATGCAAAAAACTCATTTTAGCTTAGGTCTACAAGCTTTTCAACTGAGTCTCAGTTCAATAACTAAGCTATTTAAATTAAAAAAAAAAAAAAAAAGAAAAAAGAGAAGAAAGAACAGCTGTGGCCTTGACTTTGTGGTTCAGAAATGTTTATGGAGAGACACCACAGCAAACTTTTTTTTCCTGTGTGAAAACTAAGTTTTACAAAGAAGACAGCTGTGACTAGTGTGCCATTCCAGAAAGTGACAGTAGGGTATTGCTGCATAATAACTTTGAACAATGCCAAGTATTTTTTTTTTTTTAGTTCTTTGTAAAAAGTAGCTTTAAAACTTCAGTGAGAGTTTTCAGCTTTATAAACTGAGTTTTATTTTTCACAAGATGTTAGGTTGCCTAGAGTTTCCTCTAGAACACAATGCTGCATTACAACATACTCTCAAACGACAAGCTAAATTATCAGAAATAAATAAAAACATAAAAATAATAAACAATATATTATATTTAAAATATTAAAATTATTTTAAAATATTAAAAGTAAAATCATAAAAAATCCCAAAATAATATCATCAGTAAGTTACATATGCTCTGAAACAGCATTGTTGTTACCACCAACTAACGGAAGTAAAAAAAAAAAATAATTCCAGCAATAATTCTTAACTTTTTGGCCTTGTAATCTGTTCATATAGTAAAGCAACACAATTTTGAATGCTCTAATAGCAGTGAACTGCAATTATAATGGTCAAGATTGAGTAGTATGAGATTTACTTACCCCCTTCATCAACTGAACCAAAAGATTCCAGCTGACGCCTGAAAAGATGAGAGTAGCCACCTGTGCCAGACTTAATTTTTTCTGAGGAGACATGTGATCCTGTTAAATCTGACATTGAATGAGCTGATGAGAGCCGTTGAGGTCCCAAAAGAAAAGGTTTTTTTGGTTTTGATTTCATCTGTACTTCACCACTACATACCTCTATGTTTGCATCAGGTATGTGAGTACTTGGGATGATTGCAGAGGATGTATCTGAAAATGTCCCATCGTTTTTCCGACCCTTCATTTTGTCTTTTAGTTTAGCAAAAGGAGATTTGGTTTTGTCCTTCATTGACAAATCAAACATACTTGCTGTCATGTTATTCCTTGTAAACTGAATATTGACCTTGATTTCTCCTCTGTCTTTAGTTGTCTTCCCTTGTCTGGACTCCAGGCGAAACCACCTTAAAGGAGAAAAAGAGCAAGTTAAGCTGTGCTTTCTGAAGGCAGTTGGTTACTGTACCTGGTTAGTATAACTTAAGATATGAAAAACAAATTCCATAACAAAATATTAAAACATTTCTGTATTGAAAAACTTTTTTGTCTATATTTGACATGAAGCATGAAGCTCTTTGGACTGTTCACCTATTTCAAGAATCAAAGTCAACTCCATGTCAGCTTACCACACTTCAAAGCTAAGGGGTTCACCCCTGCTTACAAAGTTTGTATCTAATGTTAATTATAAAAAAAATCTATTTTATTTTGCTATTCAAAAGAACACTTGATGCTTTTAAAGTGGTCTTTATTTGGCAGTTATGTACATTACCTGAATGTATACTATGTAGCAAAGACTTCATTTAGTAACCTCTTCACTTTGATTTTGCACAGGCTTATATGCTAGCAAACATTTCTTCATCTCTGTCCCTTTTTTCTTCTAATCACTGGTTAAGATTGATGTCAACTGCACTAGCACATAAATAGCTGAGACCTCTGAGCAGTCAACTACTATTCCAGTTCTGCAACTGCAACCCCTACTAATGTTGATGGTAAGTCCATGAGCACCAGTGGCAGAACAGCCAGCATGCAGACAGGTGTATCTAACACTAGTCCCCTCACTTGCAGGTCACCAGTGGGATTAACTTCAGCAATATTTCCACAGGCTTTAGAACCATGACATAAAGCCCCATGCCTTGGAAAGAGATCAAAGGTGTGATCATCTGTTTCAAAAAGCCAAGTGTGCTTCTTTTCCAAGTCCAGCAAAGGCTTTATCATTATCCAAGTGTCTTACTCATTCCCTATTGTGCTCCATTGGCCCATGGAAGCATCTGCAGAATTATAGCTCATTATTCCTTTATCTAAATGAATGACTGACAGGCAATCCCTCCTCCAAAACTATCTTCAATAGCCTTTTCCTGTTAAAAAAAAAAAGGGTAAAAGTGTGTATTTCAGGATTGCCAGCTCCGAAAAAATGTCAGGAGAAATGCATGCACACATGCTCTCACAACAGTGCAGTATCACCATGAAGTAACTTTGGAACTGGAGACTACTAAATGAAATTACCTATCAGCACAGATACAAAACCAATTATGCACATGCACTATTCAGTACAGCCAAATACAGAAACCAAGGTCAGGAAAGGAGAAAAAAAATCCTCTGTTTCCTTTTAGATTTAATAAATATTTTTAAGGGTGACAGGTGAAATAAAACTTTCAGGCACCAATACTATTTTTTTGACTTGAGAAAATACTTCTGAAAGTGACCCACTAAAGAAGGAACTATAGGATAGAAAGTGTTGTGATATTTTTAATTGGTTTGTGATGTCCCAAAGGTTTTATATCCCACACTAAACCAGAATAACTTAGAATTATCAGACTGTCCTGGCAGTGGACAATACAAATTCAGACCAGTAGATCCAGAGGTTCAAACCAGTAGGAGGAGAGTTAAACCTTTAACACAAAAGTTTTTCTTCCATTGAGATAATTTCATTTATGTATTTTAAATTAAATGCAAAACCTGAAAGATGTTACGTGCCTAGAGAAGATGGATCATTTTTCCTTTTAGTTAATAACGTTTCACTTCTTGGTAACTGATTCCAGAAACACTTCAGGTCACCTATAGAGGCATTACAGGAAACACACACAACAGAACCAAGAGTAAATATTTTTTGTGATACATAGTATCACCCAAACTGGAAACCAAGATACCCTACTTTCTTCAAAACTCTTCTTTAAAAGAATATACATTAATATATTATCTTAAAAAAATACAAAACATACACAGCCTTAATGAGCAAGGCCTTGATCAGACAGATCCTGCCTGTGCAGAAAAAAACAAACATCCAAACATCACCCAGAAACTGAGAAAGTCCTCACCATGATTTGTCAGATATACACTAAACATAAATCTAAATACAAATTTATATATACTTGCTTTAAGAGGCTTAATTGACAGAGAGAAGCTCACTTTCTGATACTCAAAATCAATGGCTCAGCCTACACTGTAAGAAAACATACTCCCCTTTCTCCCTTGCTCCCTCACCTCACAGGTCTCAAACATTAACACTTTATCTCTGATAAGACTGCTGAATTGTCGTATGTTTCTACTTGGGAATTAGCAGAAGGTTAAACTGATGTATGACACTTGCCAACTTGTTTTAGAACGATAAATTCTGAATTCTGGCTTTTGCTGTGTGGAGAAAAGCCTTTCCTTTTAAAACTTAGTTTAGCTGAATTATTGACCTGGTTATCATGCACCAGCAACCACTCGGTATCACTATCAGTACTCACCTGTTGCTGGCACACCTCCACATCACTTTGACATTCACCAGGTCTGAAGGAGAGAATCCCAGTACACAACTAAGACAGTAGTTTGTGCATTTCTTTGCAAACTAGACTTTGAAGAACTCAACACTAAAAAGGTCAGCTGGGAAAACAAAGAAACTCTCCCTACCCTAAGAAGAGAACACAACGGCACAAGGGCTTGGACTTCATACCTGCTGGGACCAGGTTCAACACTACCACTGATTCCAACTGAATTTAATCATAAACTCTTTACTCAAGCAAAATTCCCCTGGACTTCAACGGAATTTCTATTTGAATAATGATTGCTGGATCAAATCTTTGTATAAAACACAGATATTTAATTTTCATAGGCATTTGAAGGAGGTTTCTTTGTTACCTTGGAGAGTTTATCTTGTTTGAGTTATAATGAAGGTTCCATATGCTTCAGCTCATAACACAATATGAGAAGCAGACTCAAATCATGATTTTCTTCAAATTCAAAGGCGAATAATTACTTTTTTAAACAGATGAGAACAAATGCAGGCAGCACATTTGTGTGGAACTGCACGTGAAGGAGCAACTGAGTCTGTAAATGTTTCTTATTAGAATCTGTTTCTACAACACATGGGCGTGAGCAACAAATAGAAAAAAACCTGCTCTATATATAATAGAAAAAAGAATTGCAAAATGAAGTCCACTGTTTTCAGATAACAGCATTTGGGTCCTAAAATACTAAATTCCACTACACCACTGCCAATTTTAAAAATTGTAATGCATTATAAAAGCCAATAAAACTTGCTATTTTGGTTTTGTTTACAGTACTTTTAGCCACAATAAATGCTCCATTTGTCAGGCTGCCATGAGCTTATTCTATAGAAAGCCTGTACAAAGTAGGAAAATAGCCAATAACATACACGAACAAAACAGGGTGGCTTTTATGAGAGCAGATGCCCTTTTATTTAATAACCAAATATTACATCCAGTATTGCAGACAGTCTTTATTTAAACAGACCTTGTACAAAGTCTGGCAAATTTTCCCAACTTCAAAGGAAGCCCTATTGCCTTCTGAATCACATTCATACTTCTTGCTCTCACCTTCAAAAGTTCTGTTAGGACAAAGTCCCCCATACACCCTAATTTTGACTTTTCCCCTACAGTTTCCATCAGAACAACCTTTGCTTCTTTTTCTCATCTGTTTTTGAGTGTGCTAATGGGCTTTGCCTGTCCTGCACAGGTTTCTGATTGTTTTTATTTTGCAAGCATTATATAAATTGTCATTCTGTATGCTGACAATTTTTTTTTAACAACTGAAGAGAAAATCAACATTCAAGGCTAAATAGGAAAAACCCTGCTGAAAAACTAACCCCTTACCTGAAGACACAAGGCTATTTTCCAACCATGACAAAATCACTCAGTTTGGCCATAGCTACAATTAGGGGTGGAAAAAGCAGAGCCCCGTATTTCCAAGAAGGACAGTAACCATCTCCTGCATATGACTAAAGTGAATGCTGTAGGGTTACAGTACTCAGTCCTTCAGCTTATTAAAGGTAGATAGGAGTGAAGAAGGAAACTAAAGAAATTTAATATAAATGAGCAAGTTAAAAAATTCTGGCCTGCCTATACCATCTAAATAGGTAGTGACCTACAAACATACCACTGTATGAATGCCATTTCTTCAGCTGTTCTCTACCTTCCCATTTTCTGATTTGATTTTCTTCCCATGAACTTGGGAACTCCCAGATCACTTTTGTTCATCTACACTATCTTCATTGCAGCCTTCATCCTGCATTCAACACGTATTTTGAAATCAGTATCCTGTTTCTCTTCCTCAAATAGCAAGAAGCTGATGTTTTGGTGTCTCATCCTCCAAATCTGCTGTGGAATTTGATAGTTCCAAGTCTTATTCCTCTCTCTTCTTTGAAGAGGCCTCACTCTACCTATTCTACTCTCCATGTGACAGTGAACAGGACAGGCTGACAGTATGGGTAAGAAAAAACACTATATAATTTCAATTACATTTTAATGACATCCTTATATGCTTAAACTTCAACAGCCTTCAAAACAACTAGGATACTTGTCTACTAATATCAACAGGAATACGAAGCCTGATAGCCAGCACATTCAACCTGTGTTATGACAGATACCTTCTGATTCTATATTTTTGCCAGTGCCAAAGATGGAAATTACAAAAGGAATTTTCCCACACATTTTGCTACTTCTCTAATATTCCAGTCTGCCTTCACTCTGCCAGTAACTATCTACTGAGCTGATCTAATTTCACTTTGCTGAAATCACTATATTGTACCCAAAGACTTTTGGAAAATGTTTATTTCAATTCACAAATTACTGGAGGAATTCTGCAAAAAAAAAAGCAAAAAGAAAAAAAGAAAAAAAAAAAAAAGCATGCAATCATCACGAGGCTTCTAACCTCAATTTTACAAGTAAAATCAGCATCCTGATCTGCTAAGCAACTTTAATCTGCCTACACAGTGACGAAAGGGATTTTCTACACTAGCAGGTACTTCTAAAACTACTCCTATAAGGGACCATCAAAATCCCAATGATAGAACCTGTTCATCAGCTGCCATGGACTATAAATTACTTCTTCATCTTAGATTACTATGTTCAAGCTAGAAACTTTGAAGAAATTTGCTTCACAAAATCCCATTAACATAAATGTTCAC